GATGACGAAATCATTATAGTGAGAGTGTCTACGGACCTAACAATCCGCTGGATAGGTTACACTTCCTCCACCACTTATACCAACAACTGCCCACTGATCTGCCCCTAATTGTCGCTAGGGATTTTAACATTACCCCTAATCCGCTCCTGGATAGAAGGTCCTCACAAGGAGCCCCCCGGGACAAATGGGCTCCGAACGTGGATATGCTATCCCGCTTCATGTCCACCTTACAGCTCAAGGATGCCTGTAGAATGCTGCACCCCACGAAGCGGGCATACACGTGTGAGATCCAATGGAGCAGCGGGCAGATCAAACTCAAGGATAGATTTCTTCCTCATCTCAGAGGAATTGGTAGGCATGCTGTCAGTAATGGACATCATGACACTCAACCCCTGTAAGTCTTTTACCATCGGGGGATAGTCATGGGCCTGTCCTGCCACCCTTCAATAGAACAAGGGCCGAGCTTTTACAAATTTAATACGTCTCTACTAAAACTCCCTGCGGTAAAATGTCTGATCAATGACTTCTGGCTCTACTGGTCCACAAAGAGGGAGACAACCTACTCTGTTGTGGATTGGTTTAACAACGGACTGGCACAATTATGTTACAGGGTTTAAAAGTTCTCCATCATTCACGCAAGGGACCGTAAGGCGGTGTTAGATAAACTACTGAACGAACTGGAAAACTGGGACACCAAATTGCAAACGGACCCCTTGGATGATGAAACTTTTAACATCTACAGCAAGGGATCACCTACAAAGCGTGGCGAATCCAAGCCCAAATAAAAAAGCGGGATACAGACGGGACGATGGTCAAATCCTTCTTCAGGAAAGCAAGGGTCAAAGTAAGACAGACTGTGGTGTCATCGCTGAGGCATCCTTTTGATCACCCACTCCCCAATGCTGCCAATGCGTACGCCATTGTCGATTATGCAACCCAGTTTTACCAAAAATTGTATGCTTCCAAGTCCGCACAATGGGGGATAGAGCAGCTGGCTGCAGCATGTTGCACCATGCTGCAACACCTTCTTGCGATGTTGTCATCATCCCAGAGAGAGCAGCTGGAAGCCCCACTCACATCAGAAGACCTCCTCGAGGCCTTGAGAGACATGGATGACGAAAACACCCCTGGTTTGGACTCCTTTCCAAAAGAGTTTTGACTCAACTTTTGGAGTACCTGTAACGAGCGCGAGGCCGAGGGAGACAGGGAGAGTTGAGGGAGAGGGGAGAGAGAGGGAGAGAGAGAGAGCACACACACACACTCACTCACTCGACACGACTCAGGGTCGGACGCAGACACAGTGGCAAGGACACAAAGTCGAAGTCCTGGATTCCGAATGCCGAAAACAGGAGCAAGTCCCATTGAGTACGTGTACGAGACTGGTTCCCCGTACTGTACGGGGAACCGGTATAAGTGTCGGTGACACGTACGGTACCAGGGGCATCTCTGCAAAAGCCCTGAGGGCAGAACTGAAAAATGTGGTATTTGAAAGTGGCGCCCGAATTGTAGCATGGCGCCAGTTGTCCAAAATCCGACGGTACCAAAGGAGGGGTTTTAAAAAAAGGGTGTCAGGCCAAAAACGGGATGTAGCAAAAACAGCAACAAAATAGACCAAGGGTCGAGCCCTGGCGGAGTCCATAACACTATCCCCTCCCTCTGAAAGGCAACGTCTCGGCTGCCAAAAACCTAAGGAGACAAAAAGCAACTGTGAAGGACGAGACGGGGCCGATCACTGGTCGGAAAAGGAGAAGGGGAGTGATGCAAGTCACAAGGTATTCTGTCAGATGTTTGGCACAAGTGAAGGTATGATGTAACTGGGTAGGTATACAGGGGAAGCTAAGAAATTTTCAGGGAACAGGGGATTTCTATTGATGTTCTATTGGGTAAGGGGAAACAATGTCCAGGAAAACAAGGAATTTCTTTTGATGTTCTAGTGGGTAAGGGGAACAATGGTCCGGGAAACAGGGAATTTCTATTGATGTTCTAATGAGTAAGGGAAACACTGGAACAGGGATTTTCTAATGATGTTTTACAAGGTTGTCGGGAAAAATGAAAGTGTTTGTTCAGGATGCAGGGGCTGGTATGTCCAAAGGAGTGGGAAGCAAAATCTCATGTAGGAACAAAGTGTCCAAGTGTCTTGAAAGGGGATCTGCAGCGGTCTTGATCAAGGTCTTGGAGTAGGTGGTAGAGGCGGTCCTCAGCGGCTGTGACAGGTGGACGTCCAAGAAGCGTAGTAGTTCAAATGTCCAAAGTCCAAGTGCTAGGGTGCGTCCGGCACACGAATTGCAATGAGGTCTGATCTGGAAGCAAGGAAGTCGCAGACTGATGCAAAGATCCATGTCACAAGTTGCTGCTCCAGTAAGTCTGCGAGTTAGGATGTCGGCCGATGAAACAACATGGTGGCCAAACCAGCTGCATAATTTCCATGATCAGTGAGGCAGCAGACCATCGTCCTCGTGCATTTGCCATTAGATCCTTTATCGTCGACGTCACGCAGGTCCACAGGCATTGGACAAGAAAGACAAGGTAGTGAAGAGGACAGATTGGACAAGGCTAGGCGAGGACAAGGGCAGATCAGACATCTGGAATCAGGGTCGAGGGGAGGGTGGGCTGGGTTCAAGCGTGTGTGGAGAGCAGGGTTGCGAGGTTGTAGCAGGGTTTTAAGCGAGGGTTTAGGGTTTATGTCGAGGTATAGTTAGGATACAGGGTAGGCACGATCATAGGCATGAACAAGTTTCATGGCATTCTTGAGATTATCAAGGGGTTCCCATGTTGATTCTTCATCAGGGTATCCGGTCCATTTTACTTTGTATTCGGTGATTGGTTCCAGGTGATCTGATACTTGAGTTGTTCTTCGTCCTATGATTGATTCGGCTATAAATTATGGGCCTGTTGGAAGCATGATTGGTGGAGGTCTAGGATAAGGGCGGTTAGCGAACTGGGGCGGGGATTCGTGGTATTCCTTGAGGTATTCTATGTGGAAGACTAGGTGGACGCGGCGCATGTCAGGTGGAAGCTGAAGTTTGTAATTCACGGGAGAGGTTTGTTCAATGATGGGGAAGGGACCGAGCCACGTGTTCGAGAGTTTCTTGGACAAACCTTGTTCGGGTTCAAAGCGTTTGGCAGAAAGCCAGACTTTGTCCCCTACTTTGAATGACACGTCACGTCTGTGTTTGTTAGTCTTGTTGGCTTGTTGTTCTTGTGTTCTTTCAAGTGCTCGGTTGCTTCTCTGAGGAGTCTGTTCATTGTTGCTACCCATTCATTGAGAGAGGGGCAAGGGGTGGAGGGGTTGAGCTGCGAGGGAAGCAAGAAATCAGAGGGCAAGCGGGGAGGTAGAAAGGGGACATGCCAGTGGAGGGGCAGGCAACGTTGTTGTAGGCAATCTCGGCAGTTGTGAGCAATTGATCCCAGTCATGTTGGTGTGAATGACATTTCCGCAGAATTCTTTGGAGAGTATCGTTCATCTTCTCGGTCTGGCCATCGGTCTGGGGGTGGAATAAAGTGTTATTCTTGAGCGTGGTTCCGTAGGCTTGGAAGAGGTGTTTCCAGAACTGTGATAGGAAGCGGGGATCGCGGTCACTGATGATGTTATCGGGGAGACCGTGGTGGCGAGCGACATGATCGAAGAAGAGTATGGCGATGTCTTTGGCATTGTGCGAGGTGGTACAAGGAATGAAGTGGGCGCGTTTGGTCAGACGACAAACAATGACATAGATGCAATCATGCCCACGGTCGGTCTTGGGGAGGCCGCACACGAAGTCCATGGAGATGGACTGCCACCGGTGGGTAGGGATGGGCAATGATTGGAGCTTGTCGGGCTTGGCCCGGTACGAGGGATTAACGGCCTGACAGGTGGGGCACGAGCGGATGTATGCTTTGACGTCGGCGAGTAGAGAAGGCCAATGGAAGTAGCAGGAGATGGTGTCGAGGGTTTTCTGGAAACCGAGGTGGCCAGCGGTCTTGGCGTCGTGGTGCTCAACCAAGAGCTGGGTACGAAGACCACGTGCGTCAGGGATGCAGAGTCGGCGAGTGCCCCTGGTGTCAATGTAGAGTAGATTGTCATGGAGAGAGTAGTCAGGGACTGAGTCAAGGTTGCGGAGTTGGTAGTAAATGGGAGCGACGTCTGGGCAAGAGAGGTAACCTTGGGTGTAGCGGCGATGTAACGAGGGAAGAAATTGAATGTGAGTCATGGCAGCGTAGACTTTCTCAGAGGGCTTGTGGTCGGGGCGGCGGGAGAGGGCATCAACAACACGGTTGCTTTTGTCGGGGGTGTGGCAGATGGTGAAGGTGAACTGGGCAAGGAAGTCTAGCCATCGGGCTTGGCGGGGGGTGATGTCTTTCTTGGTAAGGATGGAGGAGACGACTGTGTTGTCAGTGCGGATGGTTAAGTATTGCCCGCCGAGGTACGGGCGCCAGACTTTGAGGGCGTAGACCACGACTAGGAGTTCCTTCTCATTGGAGGGGTAATTCATCTCCGCGGGAAGGAGTTCCTTGCTAGCGAAGGCAATGGGGTGTTCGCCGGGTGGGGACTTTGAGTGAGTAGGGGAATCTTTGACAGAGGGGATCTCGATGGGGTTAGGAGGGAAATGTTGGGACAGAACAACCCCAATGGCGAAGTCTGAGGCATCAGTGGTGGCGAAGAAATGGCGAGTGGGGTCGGGGGTCTTGAGGACGGGGGCCGTGGTGATGAGTTGCTTGAGTTTGTCGAAAGCGGCTTGGCGGCGTTCAATCCATGTGAAGGACTCGGTGGCGCGGGTGAGCTCATGGAGAGGGTAGGAGACGTCAGAGAAGTTTTGAATGAAGGGGGGATAATAGTTGGCGAGTCCAATGAATGAGCGAAGCTGGGTCAAGGTCGAGGGAGGTGGGAACTCGACGAGGGCGGAGACCTTTTTGGGGTCCATGCGGATGCCGTCGGCCGAGACAATGTGACCAAGGTATTCTACGCTAGGGGCAGCAAATGTACACTTGCTGAGCTTGGCGTAAAACTTTTGGTCTCGAAGGATGGAGAAAACTTTGCGAAGGTGTTCGAGGTGGGATTCGAAGGTGGGGCTAAAGACGAGGATATCATCGAGGTAGATCACGACACAGACTTCGAGGAGGTCGCGAAAGATGTGATTCATGGTAGATTGGAATGTGGCCGGGGCATTGGTGAGTCCGATGGGCATCACGAGGAACTCGTAGTGCCCGAAGCGAGAGCGAAAGGCGGTCTTGTGGATGTCCTCCTCACAGATGCGGATCTGGTGGAAGCCATTGCAGAGATCAATCTTGGTGAAATACTTGGCTCCACGGAGGCGATCAAGAAGCTCGGATATGCGAGGGAGTGGGTACTTGTTCTTGATCGTGATCCGGTTCAGGGCACGATAGTCTGTGCACATGCGGAGTCCCGAGGTGTCGTTCTTCTTAACGAAGAGACAATTGGTTCCGAAGGGGGAAGAGCTAGGCTTAATGAATCCTTTCTCAAGGAGTTCATTAAGTTGTCGCTTCATCTCTTCGGCATCAGGGGTGGAGAGCTGGTACGGGGGGCGACAAGGAGGAGAGTGGCCGGGCTTGAGATCAATGGTGTGGGATACACCGCGATCGGAAGGTAGACCGGCGGGCAAGGACTCGGGGAAGACATCTTTGAATTCGGAGAGGAGGGCGGTGATGTGGGGATCAGAAGGAGGATCTTCGTCGGGTTTGTCCGTTGGAAGCAAGCCCTCGGGACGCTCGTGGTCAATGACAAGGCAATAGTAAGCGGAGTCAGGGTGTTCACGGGACATGTGGAGGAATTGATGTGGGGAGACGGGGGGTGGGGTGGAAGGGGGAAGAAGGTAGGGGATGTCAATGGGAGAGTCGGGAGGGTTGGTGAGGCGGAGGAAGGAGGGGTGGAATGAGTAGGGCATGTAGCGGTCAAGCCACGGGGTCCCTAGGACGATGTCGCCCATAAGGTGCATGCCATCGAAGGAGACCTGACTGCGAAGGGGGCCGACAGTCATGGTGGTCTCGGGGACTGTGCGATCGACGATGACGGCTGAGTCCTTATCCCCTAGGTGGATAGTGATCGGGGAGTCATAGCCGGTGGAAGATATGCCGACTTTGTGGACACAGGCGTTGGCGATGAAGTTGCCGATGGCGCCAATATCAAGGAGGGCCCGGAACTTCACCGTCGATGCACCGAGGGAAACGGGAATGAACTTGAGATGGAACTGTGCGGATCCGGCACAAGCAGAGGAGATCATAGTGTTGAGGCGGCGTTGCTCGAGGCCTAACCTAATGAGCCGATCGTGTCGGGCTCGTTCCTCAACAAGATCTGTGAAAGTGGTGGCGGATGGGTTAGGGAGGAGGGTGGAAGAACACGTGGCAGTTGAGGGTTCATCTGACGGAATAAGGGACATTGTCGGGAGGGGGGCAGGCGGAGTAGACTGCGACACCTGAAGATTGTTCGGTGGGATGTGCGTCACCGGAGGAGGGGTTGGCAGACGAATGGTCGATGCCAAATGAGCCATCAGTGGGACGGAGGACGTCACCGATGGGTGGGCCGACAGACGCGGTGTCGATGCCGGGTCGATGTCCTGGGGATTGTGTTCATGATGAGGAGGGACCCGCGCTTGCCGAGGGCGGTGATGCGGAGGTTGCGGGTCGAGTGGAGGTGGACTGGCAGGTGAATTGTGCGGTGTTGGGGCAGTTGGTTTGTTGGTACTCCAATTGGCGACAACGGAAGCAACCCCCTTTTGCTTGGAGGTAGGTGCACTTCTCGGGGGTGATTTTCTTGAGGCGGGAGGGKGGGGTAGATGAGGGTGGTCGAGAGCTGCGATCTCTGCGTTCCATCCTCATGAATTGGACGACATTGAGTTCCTCGGAAGAGAGGGATGAAGAGTCGAGTGAATTGGAAGATGCGTCGGGGTCCGGTGTAGTGAACTTGTCCGAGGAGGTGGTGGAGGTGGTGTCCTCGGAGGCGATGTTGTGGAAGAAGCGAGGGCGGGGAGGGGCCGATGTAAGTGCGGTCTTGTAGGGGGAGAGGATCCGATCGAGTTGGAGGGTACGAGTGAGGAGGTCGGCGAGGGTCATGGGGGGCTCGTGGATAAGGGCGACCGCTAGGTCTTTGCGGCATACACGCTTAACGTGGGAGATGAAGGCGAAATCGTTGACGACATCAACGGGGATATGTTGACGAAGCGAGCRGACGTATTGCACAAAACGGTCGGTTGGGCTGTTTTGTTGGAGCCGACAGAATTGGTCGATATAGTCGTCGACCGTTTTCTGTGGGCGGAAGGTGGAGGTGATGAGGGTGGCCCACTCAAGGAAGGTGTGAGGCCGGAGACAGGAGTGGTGGCGATTAGACATTTCGGTGTACCACCAGTGTTGTCTAGGAGTCGGCTGCCAGCGATGGGGAGTCAGTGGATGACAGGGATGGCGTGGAGGGAGAAGGCTTGTTAGAGTTTGGTGAGGAAGAGGAGAACGTCCTCATGGGGTTGGCCCGAGAAGGTGGGGATCTCGTTGGCGCGGAATGATGGGGGGATTTTGCCTTCTATGTTTGTAACGACGGCAAGGGCATTGAAGTCGAGGGTGGGGGTGGGGGAGTCGACCAGGGTGAAATCATTGGCAGCGTTGGTGGGGATGAATGCTTTTGGGGGAAGTAGTGGAGGAGCGGGATACACAGCTTGTGGGATAATCTGAGTGTAGTTGGGGATAGTTGAGGTGATAGTGGAGGTGGATAAGAGGGGTTTTGATTGGGGGGGGATGGTTGATGACTGTGTGACGGCGGGGGTTTTCGCCTTGGGCAAGAGGGGAGGTGGAGTGGCCACGGTGGAGGTAGTGGTGGATGAAGATGGCAGAGATGTTGATGTGGAGGTTGAAGCGGAGGCTTGTCCGGAGGAGGGGGTGGTTTGGGGTGTGGAGGAGGGGGGTGTGGTCGTGGTGACGACCGTGATGGCGGGGGTGTTTCCCTCGAGCGTTGTGACACGGTCGGAGATGGCGGCCATGGTGGTGTTGATGGAGTCAAGGGAGGATTGGAGGGCAGTCAACGTTCGGAGGAAAGTTGAGTTCCGGGGTGGTGGTGGTCGAAGTTGGCGAAGGACAAAGTGACTTCTGCCGAGTTTGTGTTGGTCAACGGACTGCTGTTCCTTGAGAAGGTAGGGAATAAACGTGTGTGTGTGCCAGAGAGGGAGTCTTTGCGTAGTTTATTTTTAGGCGAGTGTCATGATGCCACCGGACATTTTGGTTTCAAGAAGACTGCCGCCAATCTGCTGCAGCGATTCTGGTGGCCCACGATGATGAGAGATGACAAGCTGTACGTGGAGACTTGTCAGGTCTGTCAGAGAGACAAGCCCCGTACACCAGAGCCTGCAAACGGCTGGCCGTAGCCGCACCCAGCCGCCCCCAGCCGGACCCGACAGCTGTGGGCAGGTCTGGCTAGCCCCATGTCCCACCCGGCCAGGTGTGGCCAGGGGATGGGAGGATGGCCCACAGCTGGGCTGGGGGCAGTTCTCGTGAAAAAGAACGGGCCAGTTGTGGGTGTCTTGCCCTTATTTAAAAAAAAACGGGTAGGTACGGGGGGGTCTAGACCTGGCGCGGATCACCCGTCAAAAGATATGCATATATGCATATAGCCTGATATCGGGGTCTACACCTACACCTATACACATGTGTGTAGGGGTACCGGGCCCTATTTTTTCATTCTTCCTCCCACGCCGCATAGTGCCTACAAGCAAAAGGGCGGCAAACTGCGCCGTTGTGAAAAATATTTGCAAGGCGCAGTGGGGCTCCCAGCCTCCCATGGGCTGCCACTGTCTTCCCCCAAACACAACGGACCCTTATTATGGCTGTTCGTGGCCGGAAACATACCTTGCATACATTCATTATGAGGGTCCGTTGTGTTCTGTTTGTGGTCGTAAACACAGGTTCCATACATTCATTATCAGGGTCCCTTATGCTGGAGGGAAAACGGTGGTGCCAACCTGCTCGGCTCGATGCTCTTCGACGTTGTGCGCTGCACGTCGCTGCATGTCGCACTTTGCACAGTGTGCAGCACGGGCAGTCGTGAGAACGCAGCGCACGTCGCTGCATGTCGCACGTTGCACAGTGTGCAGCACGGGCAGTCGTGAGAAGGCACGTGTTGCTTCTCGTCACTGGCAGTCATGAGAACGTCGAGAAGGCAGGTGCATTCGCCCTCCCAACCACCCCCACCTCTCCTCTTCCTTCTCTTTCCTCACCTTGTCCCTGTCCTCGTCCTCGGTTTCGAAAGAAGCTGTGTGTGTAGGATAAGCAAAATCGGAATGAATCTTCAGCCGTGACATGGCAATATACACTTTTTTTTTTTTTTTTTTTTTTTTTT